TGTGGGCGATCCCACCTGGAGGTGGATAGAGGAGCGGGGTCTTGCTTCCTAAGACCATCGGAAATATGTGTTTTCTGAGGGTCTTAGGCAAACCCCGTGAAAGGGTCGTTGCACCCCCAAAGGGGTTGCGACCCACAGGTTGAGAACCGCTGCAGTAGGTAACCTTAAGAACAGTTTTTACATTCTTAACTTGTTCTTCCCTGAAGCAGGTAGAACTTAGAGGGTTGGGTGGTCACTTGCCAGTGGACTTTGTGGCTCCATCTCGCAGCGCCTCCTGCTCAGCTCCGTGCCGAGCCTACAGGGTTCAGGAGTCGCCAGCCACATTCCCCTGCCCTGTCACTCAGCAGTCACGCGAGATGGATTTTCTGCCTCTCATCTCCGAGGCGACGACAGCACAGACGGTTCTCTCACTTGCCCATGATCACCGGCTAGTAAGCGACCCTATGGGCCTCGAGACGTTAGCCGTCTTACTCCCAAACCTGTTACCTTTTACCGTCCTCACCTCCACCTTGGAAAAAGGAGCCCTCACGGAAGCCCAGTAGGAAAGCGTAGACGGGAACGTGTGAACGGGATGCCGTTGGTAGTTCAGCGGTAGAATTCGTTCCTTCCATGCAGAAGACCCGCGTCCAGTTCCCACACCGTGCACGTCAAGGGCAGCCACCACTTGCTGTCAGTGGTGGCTTGCTTGCATGCAACTATGGTGCTGAACATGGGAGCTTTCAGACGAAGACGCATTGGGGAAAAAAGGCCTGATAAGCTATTGCCCCAAGTAGCCCATGAGAAGTCAGTGGACCCAGCGTTGTGACCCTTACCTGACTGGAGATTGTGGAGGATGTTTGTTTGTTGTGTTGTGCTCTGGGTCACCGTGAGGTGGGGACCCACTTCATGGCCACATAAGACAACAACTGTAAATGTATTTGGGCGGGAGGCATCGTCGGGGGGAGGCATGGGCTAGTGGGCTACGTTAGGCAGAAAGAGCAAGGGGAGCAATGATCTCTTAGGTGGCCGTGGCCGAGGAAGAGGGCTCTGGCCACAGTTTGTTGTGAGAGCTGCCCGGGCTGGGGGACAGTCTCCCCAGGGCAGGGAGCTGCCAGCCCTTCCAGACCACAGCCAGGGTCTTGCTCCAGGCTTCCTCCTGGAAGCTTGCTCCTGGACCTTGGGGAAGCGGATCACACTGCAGGGAAGCAACCTGGGAGGGCCCCTCTCTTCCCTCCTCCCGCCCTCCGGCCTTCCAGTGTTTTGTTTTGTTGCTGGGTGGAATCCCTGCAGAGAACTGAAGTAGAAATTTTGTGGTTAGCATGGAGTGTCTAGTAGGAAGCAGGGATCAGCAGCTGGAACCGTCCTGCCTTGGTCAGCATGCAGGCTGGCACGCTCCGACAACGAGAAGTGGGTTTGAGTACACACA